CGGGCGACGCACGACGGGCGACGCACGACGGGCGACGCACGACGGGCGACGCACGACAGGCAACGGCAGATATGGAATTCCATACATTGTTAACCACCAGCTCAGACACCTGGATAGGCCACTGACTAGAATTATTGTTTTTTCTGAGGATCAAATCCACCTCTTCGTTCCACTTGATATGACAAATACAAATTATAAATAGGCAGGTGCTGCATTCCGGCGACTATTATGAACAGACTGATCTGGAGTCTACACTTGCCCAACTGACATAAGCATTATTCCACAATTTGGGGTCCAAAGTGCGACATTTTTACGCCCGTTAAAAGACTGACCCTGAGTAATTTGACATGAAAAAAATCCTTCAAATGGACTTTAGACTATTTTCATTTGTTTTGCCAGCATATTTGTTGTACTATGCCACTCTTAGAATGTGTTTTTGTCTTACCAAATCATATCTCAGAGGTAAGAGAGACACGATAGATCCCCAATTTATAGAATGACAAAGAAGGTTTAAATTTATGCTTACAGCAGAAATTTAGTGCCTATGCTCGTCAAAAACGTCACCCAGTCTTGTTATTTTTGGGTGGTTCGAGCAACTAAAATCAACGAACTTTTCAAAGACCAAATACAAGATGACTGAGCTGTGAAAGTTGGTCACTTCAATTCAAAGTGGAATGTCTCCCAAGTGACCCATTTTCGGCAAATGTAATAATAATATTTACTACCGAAAATGGTTCACTTGAGAGACATTCCCATAGGAACGTGCACACAATTTTTCAAACTTTACCGTCCCATAATTCAATATTCCCTAATCCGATCTTAACCAAACTTTGCATGTTTTCCTTTCAGATCCGAATCTATCATTTCTCAAAATGCGGACGACCTTGCAATGTCTCCCTAATGACTGATGTCTCCCTAATGTTGAAAAATTTACCACAAAATGTCTCCCAAGTGACCTATTTGGAAATATAATGCTATTTGAATATCAATATAATACAGAATGTTTCAACAAGCATTTTGCAAGAGTGTATTTGAAGAATGTAAAGAAACACTTTTATGTGACTTTTTGGTGACATTAATGGAACATAGTTTACAGAACTGCAACTGTCGTATAACATAACTGAAACATATCAGTATTACGATAATGATCATAACGATGTTATTTAAATTTCAAATTCACTGAGGGGCAGCTGGAAAATTAAATTATTTCCAGAAAAAGACCCCAGTGTTTTTCTTGACCCATTTTTAAATATTGACAAAGACTTGAACATTTTTCATGAAGTGTTTTTAATAATACTGTCCCAACAATCACAATACATCTTCATAACATGAAACATCATTTATACTTATCGAAGCACGTTTCAAAAATATCAGTAAAACATGTTTCATAAATGCTTACTTGTTGATTTTGCTTTTTTTTTCACATTTAGCAACAATGCTACTGAGGTTTTGCTCCGGGACTTCTCACTAACACATGCTGTTTTTCGTTGACTTCTGCGCGTTTCCTGAGAGTTTCCGGAGGTACATCACATTGGGCCACTAGGGACAAATCTACGGGACGGGTCTGTACTTCACTGCTACTGTTTCATTTCTATGTTATTGGGAAATTTAAAACCAAAAGCCGGTTCGCCAAATACGCAATCGGTCCTTCTAAGATGGGAGGAGACGCCGTGCGTGAAGTTTTTCATAGAAGGGAAGGGCGACTTCAAGCATCTCTTGTACGACTTGAGGCACCTCCTCTTGACTGATGGTTGTCTGGCAACTGCTGCTGATGAACGAGTGGGTGCTTGCCATCGTGGTAATAAAGGGGTAGTTTTCTCCTGCTTCTGCCATGGCTTTCCGCAGGATCCAATTCTTGGGTATTCCTGGCTCCCAGGTCAGGATAGATTCAGAGAATGGCAGCCCCAAAGCGCGGCAGTACTTCTCCACCATGACTTTGGGCTGTCTCTGGATGTCGTCAGCGTCCACGATCACCAGTGGTTGCTTGAGGTCTCTTTCGACGTAATCCGCAAGCTCTGCAAGCTCCCCATAGCCGAAGCCCTTCTGTGGTAACCAGCCCCGGAAGTCAACTTCGCTCTCTCCAAAAGTCTTTTTCAACACTCGGTAAAATGACATGAAGCTCTTCAGTGGATGGCGGATGAGGAAAGAATGGCGGTAACCGTTGGGGAGAAACTGCAGCCTTTCCGTGACGGCATAAGCTAGGTCTTTAACAAAAACCAAGCTGTGGCCTTCAAAGTCGCCCTCCAGCTTCTGTTTAACCCAGGCATGCTTGTAGTCTGGCTCTTCGGGGACCATGCCTGGTGGCAACAGACGTCCCTGGGGACCATAATGCTCTGCCGTGCAAAACGGTTCCAGCCAGGCCAAAGAGCCCTCCGTCATCGACAGACATTTCATAAAGATGGTCGAGAGACAACGAGCAGTTGACCAGCAGAAAATCTGATGCTGCTGCGGTGTCAGATCTGCCATGTTCAACGGTTAAAGGTCGTGATTCAGTCAACGATGATCAAAGATCAGTGGGTAGAAAAAAAGGTGTTCTAATTAGTCTGTTTGGAATAGAAAATAACCCTTTTCCCCATCTCTACGGGTGGGAAAAAAACTTGTCACAAAATTGCTACCCGATTTGTAAGTGTGACGTCACTTTTTTAAACCACGCCCCCTGCACAAAGAGCAACATGGAACCAGAAGTTAACGCGAAACGTTAGTGTTCGTCCATGGTCCAAATAGCCCGTTTTTATACTACGCATGCGCACGTAAAGGACAGTGGGTAAAATTGTGGTAATAAAAAACAGCTGATTTATGTTCATCACACGTAAAGTTGCCGGTGCGCCTGGTTTGAATACAAATGTATCCCATGAAAATCGGCCTCTTTTCAACATTAAAACCACCATGAACTTCCCCTCTATTAAAATACGAAAATGACTTTCAATCCTATTTTTGCTCATCAACTTGTGTTAAAATATTTGTGACTCAAATTGACCAGAGTTAAGCACTTGACTCAATGAGACTATTTAGACAACTCATACCGGTCATATAGGCCGCTAAACATTGTGATATCTCTTTGGCTAGTCTGTATCCTATCGTGTCGGAAGGCCTGAGACTTTTTTGTATTTTATTTTACTGATTTAATCATTCATTTTCGTCAGTGATATAAATATGTATGCAAAGCGTTGGCCCTTAATCCAATTAACAAGAGAAAGTCAAATAACAGTGAGTTATGTAATTTATTACGCCTGATTTCTTCGGCCTCCTCTTTCTTAGTCAATTTTGAATCATAACAAAAAAATGACGTCCAAATAACCGTTAATTCAAATCATTTTATCAATACATTCTGTGACGAAATGGAATGATAGTATTTTTGAAACAGTACTAACAGCTGAGCTTATAGGGGTTAGGATTCTTGTACGGGTAACAGAAATTAACTGTCGTTTTTCGAAAAGTGGTGCATGTTAACCCCCAGCTCAGACACCTGGATAGGCCACTGACTAGACTTATTGTTGTTTTTTCTCAGGATCAAATTTACCTCTTCGTTCCACTTGATATGATCAGGGATGGTACGACGAATAAAAATTATATATAGGCAAGAGCGGCATTCCGGCGACTATTGGAACAGACTGATCTGGAGTCTACGCTTGCCCAACTGACATAAGCATTATTCCACAATTTGGGGTCCAAAGTGCGACATTTTTACGTCCGTTAAGAGACTGACCCTGAAATGGACTTCAGACTATTTTTCTTTGTTTGGCCAGTAATTTTGTTGTACTATGCCACTCGTAGAATGTGTTCTTATCTTACCAAATCATATCTCAGAGGTGAGAGAGACACGATAGATCCCAAATTTATAGAATGACAAAGAAGGATGAAGTTTATGTTTGCAGCGGAAATTTATTGCCCATGCGCGTCGAAAACGTCACCCAGTCTGGTTATTTTTGGGTTGTTCGAGCAACGAAATTCAACAAACTTTCAAAGACCAAATACAAGATGACTGAGCTGTGAAATTTGGTCACTTCAATTCAAAGTGAAATTTTGACTTTGAACGGAAGAGTTGTTCGAAACATTAAAATGTGTTTGGAATTATGAAAATTGTGTTTTTTAAACGTAATTTTCCTTCTAAAAAAGTGGCCAAAAACCTCTTTACATTACTCACCCAACATCGACATTTCCTTGGGAAAAGGACACGTAGGTTCGGTGATGTGATCAATCCTCCTTCCCATCATTCGGACAGTTGTTGGTGCCGCCTCCGCCAACTCACTCTCTCGCCATCGACATTTTTCAACTCGAACGAAATTTCACTCCAAATTTTTCATCACATCAAATCTGTTCTGCTTTCGTATTCGCGTGAAGTATGACCCAAAACTTAAAGAACTTGTGCCTCGAATGGCTGGAACTCGTTTGCTCGTAAGTTCATCAATGCAATCACTAGAAGTCTGCATAATAATACTTATGTTCTAGTCCGGGTAACTTGGACTCTACAAATCGCCTTTTTAAACATTTTTAAAACATACGGAAAAATGTTTAAAAAGGCGATTTGTAGAGTCCAAGTTACTCGGACTGCTTGTAGTCATTGTACAAAGAAAACGTTATAAAGATTTGTGAGACATATGGATCTCATTTTATTACTAGTGTACGTTAGGTCTACTGTCTTAATATTCTCTTTGCCGGAACATAATTTACAGGTGTCATAAATGCCAAAAGTTTTCCAAACTTTTTGTCGCTCGAGTTCGGAAAATCCCTTTCTCGGCTCTGTCTCCAGGTAGACCGAGATAACCCATGAACGGGAGTTCCCCCTGCCTTTTAAACTAGAGGGCGCGCTGCGCTAATGCGACAACTTTTTAGTCGGGGACTCCGACTATAGAAAACCTTGCATATTGAAGCACCACATTGCAAGTCTGGGGAGTTGTCGCATCCGGTTATGCACGTACATGTACGTACGTATACATGCGACCTCGAAACCCAAACTCATGTTCCTTGCGTCTAAATATTGGTGTGTTTTCCTGAACGTGTTGAAGAACTCGTCAGGATCTGCAAAAATGTTGACTCTTTCTAGCTTGATCTTCGACGCCACCGGTTTTGCACAGCGTCTGGCTTGCAAAAGTGCCTCTTCACATGGTGAGCAGTGAGTTATTGTACTACTAGGCCTAGTTTGCAATTTGACGTTTGACCATGTTGACAGGTCTAGGTGTGAGGTGTAAATTACGCTACGGACTTCCCCACCTGTCATGCCTGTTTAAGTTCTCTCGATGCATGTTCTAACATGTCTGATTGGAAAGAGTTCCATTTTCAGACTCCATTAATTATTCCCAACAGTGCACTATTAGCTGTCAGAAAGCAAAAGCATGTCCAAAAAAGTTCAATTACCAAGTCGTTAACTAGTAACACAGTTTTCAGACCAATCTCATTCATGGGGTTTGCACACAAGGTGTCCTCAGGTGGTGTTTGTATATGGAACTCTTCCCACCTGATACTCATTGTCCTATTTGTTGTTGTAGACTCGGTCTGTGATTTTTTTTTCTAAGAGCCCCCTTCATTTCAGATCAAATGACATGAATGATCAGATACATAAAGCCCTCAAAATCCAATCCCTATTTGTGCTTTTAATTTCTTAATTGGAGTTAGACCAAATGTCAAGATAGGCCCCCTATTAAAATAAAAGGTCTTTGTCTAGGCCCATATGGGAAGCTCTGTTTATTGTTCCAACTTATGCACAGCTTTGTCTTTTTCATGCACCTGTCATTGGGCCACACAGGGATTCAATGTCAAGTTCAAGCTTTCATATGATGTTGTGGAAAATTTGCATATAAGGACATCACTAAATTTTCCAAACAGTGGTGTGTCAGCCATCAGAAAGCAACAACATGTTCTAATAATTCAAATTCAACAGCGAAAATAGTGAAGCATTTACGACTAAAACTTAATATCTTTCTCATTGGGTTTGCACACGGGGTCAAGTGATGATGGGGTCAAGTGATGCCCATAAGGGCCATCCATTATGTACACATGTACTTTAATTATGTACGCACAAAGGGGGGGGGTTGGTGCTGTTGCGTATGCCATGCATACAGAGGGGGATGGGTTCAAGCCAGTGAGTACCTCACGTAAACCGAAAATTTGCCTGCAATGAATCTTCATCATATCAATACATTTCCTTATGCAAAGAAATACCGGAATCAGACTTTGCGCGTTGAAATTCAAATACAGTATTCTCCAACATCCACCCCTGTCCATTTATCCTCCCACGCCAATGCAAATTATTAATTTAATAAACCACAACATCACACATGACAAAGACCAGCAGCTTCTTCCGGAATTGTGGAATGCATATGCGTACGGGGGTGGAGCCGCTGCTTACGCCAGGGAGGGAGGGAGCGGGGTCTGAAAAGTTGGCATTTTATGCCTACATGTACGTACTTTATGGACAGCCCCTAAATGGGACTGCTGAAAGATGTTACTTCACTTCCCCTACCAAAATCAGTTTGGAATTGCAAAAGTTTTAAAAATAACTACCCAGTTGTGTTCAGAATTATACAGAGTTGGCTGATTTAAATCACCGATTTAAATCACAGTTTAATTTTTGATGAAAAAGGCAAAAATGTTTCAAGTTTAGAATTCTTTTTTGCTGATTGGAAATGTTTGCAGGTTTTGCACATTTTTAACAACAAACCACCCGTCTACGATCCTTCCAGTAGCCAGTTCCTACTAGTATTAATGAAGTACAATTTGTATGAATGCGCATGTGCTACACACAATCTGGGTGGGCAAGTTTTTTTTGTTCGATTCAATCCACTTGTTTTGATTTAAATCAGCTGTTCGGATTCAGTAAGTGAATTTGATACGAAGGATTTATCATCATGATTTAATTTTACTTCATTTGAATTGCCAATTTCATGTACATCTACCTTTTTACAGGTACACTTTTATTTTATTGAGATTAGAAATGTCAGTCATTGTGCAGTGTAACAAAAACCACTAAATACCCCTGAATGAGTGCCCTTAATAAAGTGATTTTTAATCAAGCCTACATGTACATGTAAGTCATTTAACCCCGGAGCCTAGATCACAAACAAAACAAAACTGCTTTTTGCACACTGAACACTGTAAGTAAAATACATGTACCAGCATTTTGTACCTACATGTACATGTACATATAGCATGTAAATTACATTTCTCACTCATTAGTCGTTTGATGCATGAATAAGTACCCTGTTAACAAACTTTTGTGAACTCTAGTTTTGACAAAACTTAGTGTTCGGTTTGTGAATTAGCAAGCTCATTTGTCACCTCAATTTTACAGTCTACAATTTCATCAGTAATGGAAATACCGGAATCAAGTTCTTCACAGCCCACTTTACGGATACTTTAAGAACACACATCACTACGATCGTAGTATGGTTTAACATATTAACAGGACACAACTGGGCAGACTTTCTACTATTGGGAGTCTGAACCACATAATTAACTTCACCAGCTTTCGTCATAAACTGGTTTACAGTAGCCCACTCTTCGTTGGTGGGAATATCGGCTGGATGCCATTTTCTCATAAGTACACCTGCTTTAACAAAATACTGTATCCAACACAGACATTCTTAATTTCTTCCACAGAAAAAACATTACCCAACAGTGAGGCAATCCTGGGATCCCCTTTCTGCTCACACAAACTTTCTTGTTTCTTTTTCTCCGATTGCTCAAAACTCTCGTCTCAGGAAGAACTTTTAACCAAAGAATGATCTTTGAGAGTTTCCTTCTTGGGACATAAATGTATCAGATAAAGAAATTCGTTCTGATTCTCAGATTCAGACACTGCTGAATTTTTAAGTGCCTTTTGCACCAAAGCTCGAGTCTCTACGCAAGACGGATATAACTCTGCCAAATCTGCATCAGCAGCATTATCCTCACAAGTCCTTGGCTTACAGATAACATGAGGAATCAGCAATCACTTGACTACCTGCTAAGTCATTACCCAGCAAGACAGAGACACCCTTAACTGGTAAAGTCGGTCGAACGCCCACCTAAACAATTCCTGTGACCAAATCTGACTTCAAGATAATTTTGTGTAGATTAATATTCATGAAAGTACCCTCAATACCTTGTGCCACAACAGATTCACCTGAAGCAGGTTGATCAGAAAATGGCAAAATATCTTGCAACAATACAGACTGAGTTGCCCCAGTATCACAAAGGATGTTTATCCGCACAGGATCAGTTTTTTCAACGAGAGATACGTATCCCTCTGACACAATTGGCAACAGGTTGAGCCTTGCCAACATTATCAACATTTGTAACATGACAAAAAGTGACTCAAAATGACTCCCCGTGAGGAAGTAAGAGCATTAGGTGACGCATCGTTTTCTTTTCTTAGCTTTCAGAACCTGACAGTCACTTATCACATGACCCCTGCGTTTACAATATTTGCAAAAGGGACCATTTGAAGTGGACTGATGGGAGCCAGTATATGGATCAGGTGAAGCTAAGCTTGAAAGGTTCACAGTACTGTGTCCTTTCCTGGGAACAGCCGATGCTTCAGAGTTGCTTTTAGCTGAAGTGACAATTTTTGATTTATAAAATTAGCTTTTGTGCGTCAATGCATAATCATCAGCTAAGGTGGCTGCTTGGAGCAGGGTTCCTGCACCTTTTTCATCGAGGTAGGTCTTAATATCAGCTCCCACACATCTTTTGAATTCTTCGATTAAAATCAACTGTTTCAACTTTTCAAAGTCCTTTTCCACTTTTTTGGACATGCACCATCTTTCAAGATAAACTCCCTTTTCATGAGCAAACTCAACATAGGTTTGATTGTCATGTTTTCTATAATTACGAAACTTCTGTCGATATGCCTCTGGTACCAATTCACATGCTTTGAAAATAGCAGTCTTAACAATGTCATAATTTATACAATCTTCAACTGGAAGTGCACTATAGGGTTCTTGAGCCTTTCCTCTAATAGCACTCTGCAACAAAATTGACCAAAATTCCTAAGGCCAACCTAGGCTTTTTGCAACCCTTTCAAAGTGTTGGAAATACTTATCAACTTCAGATTCATTAAATGGAGGCACCATTTTAACGACAGGTAGAATCAAATTTAGTTGGTTGTAAATCAGAATTGTGCATCTTTTTCATTTCAAGCTCGTTTAACTTCAATTTGTCTTCCATCTCCAACTTTCTCAACTCGATTTCACATTCTCTCTGCTCTTTCTGTTTCTGAATCTCAAGTTCCTTTAATTTCAACTGGTATTCCAAATGCTTCACTTCTGAATCACTGGTTTCAATATGATACAATGTCAAGATACTTCCAGCCATCCTATCACCATCAATCAATTTTTCTACAATCAGCAATTTAAATTCTGCTCTCTTCATGGATTGTTTAGCCTCTATTTTTAGTTGCTTACATGCAAAAAGCAACTGGACCTTCTTCATTGAACCTATCGCTTCACGAGGAGGGTTTTCTGACTCCAACCAGTCTGCCACCTTTTCTATTTTATCTGATGTCAATGCGTTCAACAAGTGAAAATCCAAATTTTCAAACAGGGTGTTTTATAATGGCTACTGAAATTGAATTTTCTGTTTCAATTTTCCCAGTCAACCTCTTCTTTTCTTGGACAAGCCCCCATTTGTTGTCTGTCAACATGCAGCAGGTTTAAAACCTAGTATGCACTTTATCCTTGGTACATGTATATATGTGCATGTACCTGTTGTACATGGCATGTTTCTCACTCATTAGTACGCTGTCCTAATAAATACCCTGTTAATTAACAAATTCTTGTGAACTCTACTTTTGTCAAAACCTAGAGTTCGCTTTAATTCCTGGTTTGCACTTTATCCTTAGTATATGTCTCTGAAGGAAGAGCCTTCTCTGAGGGGACATGGACATCGACTTGTCCATATGTAGGTGTTGTACTGCATGCATTTCACTAATGCGAAGACATGGTGGTTTGTGAATTTATTCAAATTACTTGAAATAAACTTTCTTAATTCAAATCCAGATTTGTGTAATTCTGTAACAAAACAAATAGATAAAATGAACCTATTACATGTGCAGCTAATTTGCTTGCTTTTGATTGGACAATTGAGCCAACTTGTCTCCAATTTTAATAAGAATAAAAAAATTGATTTAAATTCTAAAAATCCCATTTTTTGGATTTATTTTTAAAAAATTAAAAATTAACAATCCTGGAATTATATAAATGCTTGGCAAAACCTTCCACTGTAAAACTTTAATCAGAAATTCTTCATGAAATACATGGGAAGGAAGTTCCAGTTTTCTGTGTTAGGGCCTAGACGTTCTTTGCACCGTATTGGTAAGTCTTCACGGATAAGCCTACATTTTGCCCATTTTTCTCTGGTTCTACTTAAAATAAATCTGGAAATGACAGATTGTGCCAAGCATTTCTATAATTCTGAACACAACTGCATAGCTGTTTTCAAGGATTTTGGTGTCCCTGGCCAATTCTGGTGGGGGTATTAAAATGGAATCTTTCCGGAACACTTTCCCACTTTGGATTGTTTAGAAAGCACTGTGCATAGAACAAATTAGGCTTGCATCTAATCCAGCCTTCACTTTACACCAACAAACACAGTCGTCAGTGTCATCATTTTTTGGGTTGAAGTTTAATAAAATATTGCTCCAACTTCTACATCATGGTAATATCATTATGTACCACCATTATTTTTCAGTTAATCTGTCAAGGTTTATGACAAATGATAAATCGTAACTGGCTTTTGGAGGCCCACCATATACAATGTACCTGCCAACATGATGTACACATGGTGTACGTCAGGCTGAAGCAAAAAATTGCACAAAAACAATGTGGTACTTCACTACATGACAAAAGTGTGTTTTTTATTCCTTTAAACTGGATCTTATAGATTATGTGATGTGTACATGCCTAAACATTTGATATTTTGGTTAAAACACTTCTAACAAAATTACATTAACGATGGCTGATAAATATGTCTGCTAATACTTGATCACATGATAATGAGGTGGCCTCTTGATTGGCTGAAGTGCTTTATTTGCCTCAGCTGATCGTTTTCATTGTACAATACAATACAAGATACAATACATTTTCTATAAATAATAACAATCAAATGGTGCTTTATAAATGTATTTACTCATTTTGGCTACAGATGAATTCTTGAAATATTACCTCTGCTTACCGTAGTTTCGGGATTTTACCTTTCTTTTTTACCCCTTTTATCATTATGGGGAACAAAATAAGTTCTCCTCCCTCAGGAAATCTTGATTTAAAACTTATTTTTTCCTTTTTATCATATTTTTTGTCTTTCAGCTGACAATTTAGCTCTCAGTGAGAATCTTTCCAAATAAACCCACTGCTTGTGGAAAGTTTTATTCAGAATTCAGAAATGATTTTTTTTCTCCATTTTCCCCAAATTCCAAATCCTTGCCAGTGTATCGAACGTATGAATTACGTAATATGCACTGCTTTAGTCTTACTGAACTCCCCTTAAGGTTATCAGTGATACCTATATGTATTTCATGAAAATTGATCAAGAAATAAGGAATCTTTAAAAATTGCAGCGTGCCTTATACTTATGCCAATTCGGTCTCAATGTCTTATCCATGCAGTGTATGTTTCTTCTATTATAAAAGTCCAGTGCCTTAAAATTAGGCAAAGTTGACATTAGAAATTACAATAATTTACTTGTATTTGGTCACAAGAGATGATCTTGGTGTCATTGGAAAGTTCTTTTCCAGGGTTTTCCAGCAGTATCAGAATTTCATTAACAATCCATTGACTTTTAAATTTGTGGGTCACATACCAGGTACATACATATCCTTTGTTGGGCATGGTCGGATCACCAGCAGCATCGTGCACAATTGTGTTGTGTTATCATTTCCCAGTCAATCTGTGAAAGTCTGACTTGACTTCCCTTTTTTGAAGGGATGACTGTGAACTGGTTCTGATTTGATTTTCATTTCGGCTGGCCTGGCAGCTGAACACGTGCTGTGACAGCCCCACTAGTGTACCTAGGATATAAGTTCACTGTATCCTTGGCCACACATCCACGTGCACAAATCTTAGCTAAGTCATACAGCCATGCAAGTAGCCTGCAAAATGGCTGACATGTTGAGGTTTTAGGTACGTGTACAGGATTTATTCTGTGATCCTTCCACTTGTGTCAACCAGGCTTATTAGGTCTTTGTAAGCATACATGTACCTTTAATTTCTGAGGAAATTCAAGCCTCTTTCTTGACTCAATGAGCACATTTACAGAGTTGACTGGGGGCAGCCATGTTAAAATCAATAATCCCAACAATCCAAACATCCCGGCTGACGCACAGCAACTGGCACAAGTTGTGATACAACAGCTGTGTTTTTGTGAAAACCTCAAATTACTGTGTACACTTACTGGCCTGGCCAACTGACGAGGCTATTAGGCAGGACCTGGGTGAATCCCCTGAACAAGAAACAGCTGTCTTGTCACAACTGGTGCAGTGCATACACTGGATGTTATTTGTGACTGTCTGTCTGTGTGTCTTCTAATTTTTTTATGGAAACACTCTGTAGAAGCCAACTAAGTGGCTCACAAATGCACAGGAATAAGACAATTGGAGGAGAGAGTAACATCATGTTAAAAGCCTAAAAACTGTATTTGTATAAATGCGGATTTCACTCACACAGGCCCTGGTTTAGGATCCGAGGCTGAGCAGTTTAACGTTGTGACCACCCTGACTGACAGTGGTGATGTCCTGGAGATGGTAAAATCAGTCATCCCACCCCTACAGCGCAGCAAACACAAAGGCCAAGATGGCCGCCTAGCAACCATTGGGGGATGCAAGGAGTACACAGGAGCACCGTTTTTTGCAGCCATGGCGGCACTGAAAACTGTGAGTTGACAAAATTTCTCACACCTTGGATTTCTCCAGCCCTTGATACAGACAGTTATTTTAATCCTCTCAGATGTTGAACTTTTGGCTTTCTTTTCTCTTAAGACACCTTTTCTTCACTCAGTTTTGTCCATAACCTTAACTCACTCGACATTTTGGCAGAAAGCTTTCTAAATCTTTGAGAATCAGCACTGTGCAGGAAAACAATAGAACATTCTTTGCACTGTTCATGGAGTGCTACTTTGGGTTGTACATCAAGCCTCATATATACTGCTCACACCAGTACATGTACATGTAAAGTGTTAGAGTCTTGTCACTGCAGTACCAAATCCTTTTGTCTCCATGAGGTGTTAGTATCTGGAGGGTGGGAATGGTTTGTGTTGAAAAAAACGAAGAAGTCGTATCTGCATTGTGGAGGAACACGAGATGGTGTGTTTTTACTTAGGAATGATGTCCCTTTGCTGGGAAAACACTGCTGGGAAAACACTGCGTGAATACACAGGTTCAGGAGCGTTTGGCATGGGACATGCTGAGCATGTGTAACCAATTGTTTGCTGAAATGTAGGGTCGTCACTTGTGTGCCGTCTTCCAAGTTTCAATCTTTCCAACTTGCTCCTCCCTTCTGTACCCCTGAGCATGGGCTCCTTGTCAGAGGGGAGAGTGTGTTGTCTGATGTAGCCCTACTACCAGTTATCAAAAACAGATGAAGGTCAGGACGTTATGTACAAAGTCATGAAATGTGATCCTCCAAGCAGAAATAGAACCTTTTCTCATTCATTTGTTTTCATGAACTACATCTATATGTAACTAGTCAACGAGTCACGCTGTTTGTTTGTGAGCAAACAGAGAAAAGTATTGTGTCCAAAAAAAAAAAAGGAGAAAATATTGTAATGGAAAAAAATGTGAACAATGCCCAAAATGTCTCCGAAATCATTGCCCGCAGTATGTAGAACATTTACATGCATCTGCTACAGTGTTGACTTGTGTCAGAAATCGGTTCTGTTTTTTTCACCCACAGGGCTGCGATCTCTCACATGTGTTCTGCGCGCAGGAAGCCGCACCAGTTATCAAGTCTTACTCACCAGAACTTATTGTACATCCAGTGTTGTAAGTGTAACTTAAATTGAAATAGAAATTTGAGTGAAGAAAACAAATTTATTTGTTTGTTGGTGTGGTGCTCTTTCAGACTTCTCTTTTACGAGGAATATGCCATTGATTTTCAGCATTGGAGAACTTTGGAAGATGGAGGAAGATTCTATTCTCTCTCTTAAGTAAGAACCTGCAGAGAGTTGGAGTTGATTGTCCCCTTCATAGGCTTAAATAAGACTCCATCCTGAGAGCTTCCAAACTTTCTCAGTACCGTAGGTTGTTCTCTGACTGTGCCGTCCAATTGTGATTATCCTGTCTGAGCAGCTGAAAGGGGAAATGAAATTTCCTTTTCTTTTTCATGCCCAGTACATGTAGCTCACAGAGGAGTTACTGTCGCTGAAGTTCTGCTGTGTTGGCGCAGGAAGAGTGGGAATATTTAGCGCCCTGAAAAAAAAAACAAGGAAATAAAGTAGAACATGTGAAGAACAGATATTATGTCAGGGTCCACATAATGAAAACAGTTTTCTTTTAAATCAGATTTTAGTTTGCTATTCACCCAAGGAACAAATTGCAACATGTATACGTGTACATCAAAATATAAAGAGATGCAGAATGCATCGTGGAACAGTCCCTTATGATATGTAGCCATATGAAAATTTTTTGAGCTGACGCCTGATTGAGTTGTCAATGTGGGGCCAGGTGAACAAATGCTCTGGCTTGTGTTGTGTGTGGTGTATTTTGACTTACATGTATTGAAAGACGAATTGTAAAAAAAAAGCTAAACATAAAAGAAACTCATCAAATTGAAGTTCAGCTTCAAGAATTGTTGTATCAATGTACTGTGTGTATCAAAATAAACGCAACCAGATTTCTGTTCAAGTTTGTGAGAATTATGTTAACTTTACATCAAAGTGAGCAGCAGCACCTTAAAGCCACATATCTCCTCTTTCCAATGATATGATATTTATTCATACACGGTCATGGATGGCCGAATAATTTGTGGTGACCGAGTATGCTCCCACCCAAAATTTAACGGTAGTTCAAGACCCATTTCGAGCATGATTTTCTGACCAAGATCCTCCACCCAGAAGCACGACTTGCTGTAACTTTTTTTCTTTGGGGCTATCTCAAGATCAAAGTGTTCATTACCCCTCCTACTGACATTGCAACTCTACGACAAAGAATCATCGATGAGTTTGATGTTCTACGACACCAGGACCCAATGATTCCCAGGGCTGTGTGTGAGATGGAGAAACGAGCTAATCTGTGTGTGGAAAGGAATAGGGGCCATGTTGAGGGGCATGGGATGTAATGTTTACAGAAAGATATCCTGAAGAAGGCAATTTTAAGTAGTGATTATTCATTTCATTATTCCGTATTGTCAAGTTAATTTCTGATAAGATGCCATTGTTATCGTGGACTTGGTCCCAAGCCCACTTTTTCCCATTGCCCAAAAAGAATGATTAGTCGGCCATCCATGACCGTGTGTGAATAAATAACATATCATTGGAAAGAGGAGATATGTGGCTTTAAGGTGCTACTGCTCACTTTGATGTAAAGTTAACACAATGTTCACAAACTTGAACAGAATTCTGGTTGTGTTTATTTTCGATGCACACCATATAACCCCCCTGAAAGGCATCTCATACAAATATTTTCAGAGTGTTTGGAGGCTGTTTTGCTTCAACGTTTTTTTAATGACATCACACATGGCTCTTTCAGGACTATCTGTGTCTTGACGTTTTGCTTGCCGTAAAAAGTGATTGTTGCGACCGTATGGAAACCAGGCTTCACTGTGTGTGTCTTTTATTTACAGAGATTGTGATGATGCTGTAGAGCAAACGTGTGCCTGGCTGCCTCGCATGCATACCGTCATCATAGGGCCAGGGTTGGGCCGCAACGAAACACTCTTAAAAAATGTGCTGGTAAGAAGTGCCCCTCATTTGTTTCTGTCAACCCCCTGCTGCCCCCTTCCTGTATTGTGTAGGCAGGTCTTACAGCTGCGAAGCCTAGTTTTCGCATGGTCGTGACAAATGCCGTCAGTATGCAAAATGTGTCAATATGCAGTCACAGGAGAGATGGTTTGTTGCGTCAAATAAGTAACAAATTGGCATCCATCACTCCAACAATTTTTGTGTGAAATGCCATTTCTTGGGTGGTTGTGCCATTTCTTTTAGCTAAAGTGCTACGTTTACTTCATTTTGATGTCTTTCATCGATGGTCAGCTATTCTGTTGACAATTGGAATTAGGTTTTGAAGTTATAGGAAGAAAATGGGCCCATTGCATTGTGCTTAAAGCCAGAGGGACATCATTATGTGCCTGTCATGCCAACATGCACATTTTGATGGCCTTACTCTAATGACTTGATGTAGACAATATGCAAGGTTGATTATGGCTGACGGTCTTCATTCATGTCAGTGTCAGTCTCAAACCTGTTTCTACTCAGTAAGTTTTGATTTCTGATTGTTTGTGACAGTTCACTGATTCTCATTGCATGTTGACCCCTCTGGAGTCCTCTAAAAGCCTCCACAAAGCTGGAAGAACCCACTGGCACATTATTTGTATTTCACTTTCAGGGGCATGCTATGTGAAGCAATTGAATGGCTGTGCCTCCGGTCCAAAACCTCCAGCATTTTTAAGGATTTAGGATCTGCTTTAATAGTTTGGCAGCAAGATAAGGCTTGGCATGCTTTGACAGAGAAACGATGGCCCTTTGGTGGGAACTCACAACATATCCACAAAGATTCATGTGTGTTTGGTCCAGGCCATGCTGATCAGGCACGACCAATGTTTGTTGATAGTACGGTATCCGCATTTGCTCTTAGCACCAACATCAAACAAGTCCGACCAACTTGTCACTTTTCCAGTGAGGGGGTGCTTCAAGTCAGGGCATATGTGACCCGCTCTGTAAAATTAAGTCACCAGCCTCCAGAGCTACTTCTGAGTTTTACTTTGTATTGGATTGAGGAATTTGAGCTCTTTCTTTTGATTTGTCACTCAGTTTGGTAGAATGAAAATGGACGTTGTGTAGATGTTAAAATGTTGAGGATTCCTGTTGCTAATACACTGTGCAAGATTCTTTCAAAGGCCTTCAACTCAAAAGTGGCTCTGGAGACATGTGACTCATTTTCACAGAGCGGGTCACATATAGGGTTAAGAAAATCCCATTGAATCAGTTTTACCTATTTGAGAACAGCATAACTGAGACAAATGCTTAAAGAGTATAAAGTTGGTTTGTAATGGATAACTTGGAACTGCTTCCATTTACAGGCTGTTATTGACAGAGCCAAAGATTTGAACATTCCAATGGTGATAGATGCAGTAAGTACTTCATTTGTTTAAGATACTTTTTCAGCGGAAAATTCTGCATAAATACTTATGACAACATCAACATATTTACACAGTATGATGCTAATTTATTTAGTTAATGTCATTCTGTTACCAACCTCATTAACATTCACATGAGCAAAGTAGAATATTTTTGAAAAATTCAAAATGTAACTTATAATTTGTGTTACAACCAGGTCTGTTACCTATAAAGTATTCACACAGCACCTCTTTTTACGAGTGTCAAAATTATATTCTATTGTTTTAGAATTACCCATGAATAAATGTTTATATCTTACTCAGGATGCTGTGTCAGAATTGTCCGAACACCCAGAGGCCATTCAGAACTACACCAAGGCGATTCTCACCCCAAATGTTGTAGAATTTAACCGCCTCTACAGAAACGTGGTGAGTGGACTCAAAACCAGTCCTTGGATTGATTGTCCTTAACACTGGGCTAAATGTCCATTTGACTCAAAGTTGGTCTCTACACGGAGGAGTGATTCAAATATTTTGACTGATTGTTTCAGTTTGTGGTTTGGTGGTTGATGAGGAAGCGGTGTTTTGTATGTTGAGCGTGCCGGTCTTTATTCATCTAAATACCCAAGAGTGTGACTTGTTAATGGGATGATGCTCTGAATGTGCATCTATTGAGGTCCTTTCCTTTCTCCCCCCCCCAGGTCGGACATGAAGCGGATCCCAGAGAGCCAGTTGGCAACACCATGAGACTGAGCCAAAAACTGGGCAATGTGACCGTCGTCATGAAGGGAGAGAATGACATCATATCCAATGGGATCAATGGTGAGTTATCGATTCAGTAATACCATAACATGGGTTTGACAGCAGACCCTTGGTCTAACGAGAATGAGCAATTTGTCTTTGCTTCAGCTTCAGGCTTCTGTTTAGTGAATTTCAATTCCCCATGCTGGTAACTGTTGGCCTAATTTCATGACGCTGCGTAGCAGTTAGCAGAAATGTCCTGCTTACTGTAATAGAAAATTTTGATAAACGTAAGCACTATTTTGTGTCAGTGCTTGGCATGGTTGTGTGTATGGTTGTGTGCACGTAGAAAGTTCCATTGTTTTGTCACGAAGCTAAGCAAATTTTTCCTCTGAGGTAAGCATGCCTTTTGCCACACTTACTGCTTACAGTCTTCATGAAATACACGGAGCCTCTGTTATGCTGTTTAATTTGCGCCCTGCTGGCCAGAATGAGTTTGTTTTCAGCTTGTGACACATTGAACTGTGTAACTTGAGACCAAAGCAGGAAGCTGTTTTGTTTGGTTCCAACAGCAAACATTTGAAACTCATAGTGGAGTCTGAGGATGCAGCCAAAGAGGAAGCTGAAATTAAAAATTTGTTGCCATGGTACCTGGTGGGTAGATATCTTATTCCAGTCATTTAATCTGGAGACTGTGCAGGAAGTGAACTTGTGGCCTTTTTATATTCCTTGCAAGAGCCAATGAAGGATATGTCACATGCCTTCATGTATATTCTACTGTCCTGAAGTTAAGGATAAGCAGAGGGAATGTGGAGTGCTTCATGGAGTGCCCATATTTGAGCTAACTATATGTATAAAAATACATCTGTTTGAAGACGAAATTTGTTGAAAATTCACCAGTACTTTGCCAAACGGCCTTCACAAAAATTGTGTGAAGCCAGCTCTAGTAGACACAATGTGCACGCCAGTATGCTTTTGCACACAATGAGAGTGGTCAGTGCGTATAGTACTTTGGTTGTTATAGTTATCGTTCTTTGTTCCCTGAATAAGATAGCTAAAATAACAATTGTCATGTGACTAACTCTAGGCCAATCAAGATACATGTATACAGAATCTATGGGTGAGGTGTTATAACATGGAATATGCACAGTTCTTAATAAAATATACTCAAAAGTAAGTGTTCAGGGAAGAAGTGCACCTGTGTGTGGAACGTGGCCTTGTATTTAAGAGTTATTTTTTTTCTGACACAAAATTCTTGTTTGAACCTTCATACGTCCTCCCAATCCAGTACTCAGCAGGAATATTTCCTTGTTTTTGGCACAGTCTTTGCTTTGAAACTTTGTAGGGGAAGTTGCAACATTAGGAGTGGTTCTACATTCTATCCTGACACACCTTCTGGCAGATTTGTTAGGGTCTCAGGGTAATATGAATACAGTTATCAGTAATGTATTATTTTCTATTCGATTACTTCAGTGCTAGTATGTTGTGGTGATGGAAGCAGCAGACGGTGTGGTGGACAGGGTGATATACTGGCAGGGACAATGGGTACCTTTACCTTCTGGGCCCACAAGGCACATGCAGATCCTGACAAAGAACCCAAGTGAGTGAGACAGATTTTTCCAAGCCATTTTTAACGAATCGTTGTCGCAGGTCACAAGTTTCAACAACGGGTCTGAAGGACTTTAAGACTTAGTCATGGTCTCAAATAAACAGTCAAGTCAGTTGTGGCTAAAACTTGAAGAGCCAGTAAACAATTGAACAAGTAACCCCGAACCTGCAAAGGAGAGCGAGGCGTGCGGGTGATTGTGTCAACCTGAGCGTGTTGTGTCCTAGCAAAGAATGTACATTCTGATGAAAACTGGTTGCACATGCTCCCCACTGAAGTCGTGTGAACATACTTGCACTTATTAAGTTCAGTCCTTTCTTTGCACAAATGCTGCATCTCTTGTTTGTATATGGGACTCATGGGGCTTTAATATCGTCTTCTTTGTTTTCATCGATGAAAGTGAAAAGTTGGCTACCATTGAATTAATTTAATTTACTTTACTTTATTTGGGTGAACTTCATATTCCCCCACACTTTCAAGTTAACTTGGTGTTGACAAGAAGTTAATGAGCAACAGCACAAACTCCTTCAGTGCATGATTACCTTAATGTCACTTTCAGTAAAAATCATGCAATCACTCTTCTAGTGTCTTGAGTTCCAAGCCAAATGTTCGAGCACACATGAGGATCCCATGATGCGAGCCACGTACACATAGAAATCTCATTGAATGAGTGACTTTAACAGTAGTTGTAATATTGGAAATTTGTGATAGTAACATGGGAGGTGTGCAGTAACACTTTGTGAAATCTGTTTTGTGGGTGAATGATGAGGTTCGGAAGAGAACTTGTGGACTCAACATGTTGGACAGTAGTGCACAGCCCCTTGATGGGAAAATTTTCCATTGTTAAATCTGATTGCTTGTTTGTGGGAAGCATATTTTTCTTGTGTTGTTGCATTTCAAAAAGGGTCCTGTTTGCACTTAAAAACACACAAAGGAAATTGTTTTAAGTGACTCTTTGCTCCTCGTAATGGGTCACTAAATTCAAGATTAATGAACAAAGAAATGTAGAGTTCACCTGAACTTAACGTTTTGCACATATTTTTTCCTTTAGTCAAACACTGGAAAAGGGCACTAGATTACAGGCTTGGGCTAAGTCAGGGGCAGTCAATGTGATCCCAAGAAACACTGTTTTGATCCCCATTTATGGTATTTGAATTTGCAGTGAGTTTCTGAAGCACTTCCAGCCCACCCTCTGCGCAGCCTACGCCGGCTGCCTGCTGACCAAACGCTGCTCCACGCTGGCCTTCCGGAAGCACAAGAGGAGCACCACGACTTCTGACATGATGTCAGAGGTCGGCCAAGCATTCAGCTTGCTGTTTGACGAATGACGTATGCACAGCGGCTGACCCGAGAGACTAGTCTGGCAGCGCGATCGAGAATCATTTCTGCAGTGGTGCTGCATGGGCCAAGTTTAGGCATGAACTATAGTTGGACCAAAGGTCAGTTACGTTTTAGCAGTGCACACAAACCATACAGCTGAACCATATGACCCCAAATAAACTATGTTGCATTATCTCAACGTCAATCACATTTTGCTATTTGCTGCAACTCTTGCAGCATTCGTGGTCGATGACGTCTCACACAGTTGTTTTCATAGGTTCCCTTTGTACTGAGAAATGAAATAGGCCATTGGTAACCAGCATTATGGCCATACTTCATGGCCTGGTTCCAACTGATTGAAGAGATGGTCGCAACCACCTATCATTTGGGCAGCTTTGGTCGAATTTCAGTTAACTACCAGTTATATTCTTCACTGAAACTAGCCTGTGTATGTTCACGCTCAGTCAGTGCGTATGCATTCAATGCCTCTTCCACATTTATGGTATTTACAAGAAGTTCCAGAACATGTGCAACATTCTTGCTTGTTATGCCACTGCAGTGATGGTGTCTCCAAGGACTGGTCTATTGAATTAAGTGTACAAGAGGTAAAGGGCACTTTTTTCAGTGTCATATTTTTTTAGAAACCATTAAACACTTGTTGGTCCGTAAACATTTCAAATGCATTATTACATGGCTGCGAGAAAGTAAACTTGCAAAGTTTATCATTGTATGAAAAGGCCATATGTACATGTAGGAACTCTTGTCCAGGATGCATGCATTTCTGTAGAAGAGACCGTAGAATAAAGCATGCAATTTTTGAAAGTCAATGTTTGAGAAACACTTGTAAATGAACTGCCATAAATCTAAGTTAAGCAACAGATTAGTGTCGTGCATTGCACCTTATGTTTCCTGGACCTTCTGTATCAGGATGATTTGACCTTCTGCTTTTCTGGCAGAATCCTCAGTTTATACCATTATATCATTATAATATAATTATGACACAGTCTATAGAACTTTATATTTGTCTTGTCAAAACTGCCATTGTCAAGTCTGTGTATGGTAAGATTTACATGTATTTCAATGTAGATTTGTACCCCCCAACATATGGAACCCATGGGTTCACAGTAGTACGGAGCACCACTAAGTTTTTGCCTCAAAGTAGCCACTTCACAGCTTCATACATGCACATGTAGCCCATCTTGGCAGATGGTATCCTACTATACATTATTGCTGCATTGTATTATTTGGAGACTTGCACATAGCTCAGCACACACAATTCTCTCGGAGATATTGACCGAATTCCCATAATACACTGTAGAACTGTTCTGCTAAGCATTTCCTTAGCTTTGGGATATTCTGGAAATATGCTCGGTGGCCATCTGGAGCCAATTTAATGGAGTTGCTTAGCTCAGAAATGTGCAAAGCACTGAAAATATTTACTTAGCAGAAACTGGTTACTAGCTAAAAGTTTGTGTGTTATGTATATTCATTATTGTTTGTGAGTAGTTCCCTGCTGAATATAGATTTGTCTGAATGATGTTATCTGCTTTTTAGTGTCTCCATGAAATTGGGCTCCGCCTACATGCATGGTCTCATGCCTGCTGGTGAGTGACTGCCTCAAGAACTTTACAGTTTGATATACAGTTCTGATGAGCAGCTCAGCTGGTCAAGTGCCAGTGTTTTGTAAAACTTGAACTCAGTGACAAATAAACTGAGATACAAGACTGCACACACATCATGACACCTACATTGTAACAAAGGTTTGTGAGGCTAGGATCCCATATGGCGAGAAAGAGACTGGATTTTGTAGGGTCCCAATTTCAGATAACACCGGCAGGGTATTCTGTATTCAAAGGCTTGACTCCTGCCTCTGAGAAGATCAATTTGTCAATCACAAATACTTTGAAATGGGAACAAGTCAATTTTCTGTGAATTGCAATTTTTTTGTCCAAACAAAAATCCTGTCTGTGAAAGTAAACTTCTTGAAATGGAATGATCTGAATCTGAACTGTATCACTGAGGAGTCACTTTCCAAATTGTGTTTTATGGGAACTTCTTGTACTTCGTCTGGCAAATACGGAAGTATTCAGAATATTTCATTGAAGAATTAAGATATAGGTAGTGAGCCAGTCATTTTAAATTTCTTCTGTGGCGATGCTCATTTGTATAAATCCAGGGTCAAATCAACTTACTTGGCAATATTCACTATTTACTGGTTGCAAAATATTTTTGAAGTTTGTGAACAGTATGTGCAGATAGGTACATATACATACTGGTACATTCAGCACATGCAAGCCTCTGCACTGCCTTTTCCTGTTTCCTCTGTGAATTCATTTTTCTTCCTTTTTGTATTTGTTTTGACAGATCAAAGAGATTGTAGTGTGTTTTACGTGTGAAGTCAATACTGAAGAAAAAGTCCAGATTGGAAAGAAAATTGAAAAACGATTTCTACTGTCAGGACTGTTATTGAAATTATTTAAGAAGCAGATTGTCATGCAAATTATCATGACAAGAAAAAGACGTGTCCATTAAGATGGTTTTAATGAACTTAGATGACTATCTTTTACATTATTCAGATGAGTGCATGTTCGTTATTTTATTTAAATGCCTTGATCTTGTTGCATGTAAAACGTGTTTACTTATGGAATTTGTCTTTATCCTCACCTGAATGTAATAGAGACAATTCTCTGAAACGGGAGACTGCTTCTTGTACCTTGACCCAAGCGTCTGTGTTTGTTAGGATAGTGGAAAGGAGTGATGGTCCCTTTCAAACTTTGACATGCCAAAAATGTATCTGAGCAATACTGCTCTGTTTTATAAAGTTATGACACTGCATGGAAGGCTACTTGTCTAAAATTTGAACTCAGTTTACCATAAAATGATCTTTTTACTGTCATGAGTGATTTGGAAACTGTTATAAATAACTGCACAATAAAGTTAATATATTCTTTCCAAACTTCCTGAAAACCGTTTTCCATTCGTCAGTTATGTAGAGAGACCAGGACCGGTTACGACCAAAACGAGATACAGCAACCATCTTTGCAACCATCAGTGATTGAAGTCCAAATCATGAGACGTTACACACTGTCCTCTTCTGTCCGGCAGCGAGACACGAGCATCTCATAGCTGTAAGGAAATTATCATCAGAAAGTTATTGAACAGATCATCAATGCAGGACTTGCGCAGGACTTGCGCAGGACTTGCGGGGAGGCATGTGACAAGTGGCGGATAACAGGATGGGGATAGTTAAAGGCAACGGGAAGCTGATAATAGAAACAAGTCTGAGACAGCGAAACAGATTGTACAATTTACGCAAAAAAGGGAAAGTACAGCCTAAATCATAATTAACTGCAAGAGTGGGGTATCATATCTGTCTGTGGTTTTATTAAAAGCACTGAATAAGCTATGTACTTGCACATGAACTATCATCTAACTTGATTATTAGTGCATGTATTGCCTGTAATCTGAAAAGATCCCTGAAGAAAAAAATTCTTGATTTTACAAAAAGCAAACAAATCGCTGGCTATGCCGCCTGCTTGAGCGCAATGTGATTTGAGCGAAATAACAGCGACAGCACCTGAAAATATTGCCAACTTGTTTATAGGAGTGGTTGTTAGGTTGGTTGGCCGCGTTTGATCCAGCAGGATAATGCGGTCCGCACATTGACCGGCTTCTGACAGGGCTGTCCCTCCTACCATTTGCTGGCCCTTTGGGTGGAAGCGGGGGTGGACCGGGGGCGTGGGGGCACACTTCCCCCTTTTGTTTCACCAAATAAGCGGAAAAAGAGGGAGGGACCCAAAAAGAGGGAGGGACCCAAAAAGAGGGAGGGACCCAGCCATATAAATGTGACAACTGCGTAAAAAACAATGGTTCTGTTTCCGGATCAGGTTGGGTCGATTTGGTTTTTAAGTTTTGCTACAATCAACTTCTGTTTTATCGTGTAACGCAGCAATAAATTTGCATGGTTTCTCATAACATTGGATATAATACTTTTAAATACAGTACATGTGTTTGTGCATATCTAAAATAATTTCAGCGCCGTTGTTGAATTGCAAAATATTGTGAGTATGATATTTTCAGCGTTTTGGCACGTTAATTGATGTTTCCCTTTAATTCCCGCCTCTTATTTGTTGGCGTGATTCGGAGAACATCATACATCTCACTGAATTCTTTTCATAGTCGCGATAGCCTCAATTAACGCCCAGAACGGGCTTCCAGAGCTAGGGCTAGGTCTATTGTCTCCGCGTCTGCACGCATTTCCAATGGAGTGAAGACCTAGACCTAGCTCTAGACAAGCGATTCGGACACTCCCCTCATGCACTTTGAAGTTTTCTACAAGATCGGGAAAACTAATGCATATTCTAATTCTCGAGAGTGAACGGAGCTGATTGGTCATCGTCAGCTGTGGCGGGCAATTCGTTTGGAATTCAGCGTTCTTAGGTGTGGTTGGCTTGCATATTATTATAAAACACAAAAACGTAATTGTAGCTTGGAATGTGCATTTCGTGCATGGACCGTACTGCATGATGCTAGCGCTAGCACGCGGCCGTGGGCGGGACTCCATTTTTAAGAGCATCGCTCCCCGTATCCCACAAAAGTGACAACATGGCGTCGGCCTCTTGCTACTAGTTGGCACCTCTGTGAGTTGCAACCGACAAAAGCTCGCAGAAATTATCCCTCCGGAAATGTTGTTCCATCTTCCACTGAGAAACAACGGTTGACAAAGGTATAGCTGCTTCTCCCGTAAGTTCTCTGTTCTGCAACACAAGGTGAGTTCCAAAGGTAAGTGAATGCTTTGTACAGCCACGGCCAGTGATGCAGCCTTAAGGGCACAGACCTAGAAAAAATGGATTCTAAATGCACACAAAAATCATGTTTTTTTTTACATAAACGAATGTGTAATGCAGCAGAAAAAAGGGCCAGAATTTAACTGATTTGCAAAAAAGCAAAACTCGAGTCAAATTGATTTATCAGGTTTTTCAAGTTGAGTGGATGCAAAACAGCAAAGGAAAAATGAAATGGAAATTGAGACATTAATGCTTGACAAGTTTTTTCCTTGACTTTTTGATTTGTTAATGCTTTTGAAAAAATATGCTGAGATTAGAAGATCTCAACCTAAATATTTTGTGAATGAAGAATTCCGAGCCAGGAATTAATTTTTCATGTATTAATCTTTACACCCTACAAAAATTCATTGCTTCATCCTGCAAAAAAGGAAGATAATCATAGATAATCGAATATAACATATAATCATATGGTTCACATACTTTAAGGATTCAGTTGGACTGTTGAAGTTTGTGAGGTTGGTAACATAAATTCAAAGATTTGTCTTAAGTTCAAAGAGAAGCATAAGAATTACAAAACTGCATACGCAACATGTGCAAGCCAGGAGACCTGGAAGGACAATATGACACATTTCAGCTTAAACTAAGAGGTGTTAAAATTACAGCGTCGTTACCAAATAACAGAAATGTTTTGTCAGGGTTAGAACTGTCCTGAAATGCTCAATCATACAAAGAAGTACTTTCTCATTTTCATTTTTTTTAAATTTTAATAGCCAACCCAGCTCATTTGCATTATCAAGGATTTTCTGAGCGGTAACTAACTCAGCCCTCATAATTATTCCCATTATTGCCTCAGTTGGGGATTTTTGCAAAGTTCAGTACTGCCCAAAAGGGCCCAAATATCGCAGTTGCAATGGATGTTGACATTGCTTGACCACTATCTTGAAGATATGATTCGGAAAAATAGGAAACTTGCATCATTCCATTCTGGTGTTAAGTTTGTATTGCTTTGCACTGCATTTCTGTCACATTTTCATTCAGGTAGGAAAGTGGTATTAGGATGATTGAAGCAAAGAAATGGTTTTTGCTTTTTGCCATGTGTACATTGTATCCCAGTGACATGTATAAGGCAGATTAAAATTAATTCCTTCTTTATCATCACTCAAAGTTATATTTTTGATATGTGATATTGAATATTTCAAATAAGCATTTTCTAGACTTTTCAGATCAGTCTAAAAATTACCTCTCTTGTACAGTATTTTAATACTTGAGTGTTCCATATATCATAACAGCATGATCAAATTAATTGGTCACGGTTGAGGGCAAGACGAGAAGAGGGGAAGAGTTGCATATATGGATACCAGTAATTATTCCCTACACTGACCTGGTATCCTTCAGAAAGCAAAAACATGTCCAAAAAAGTTCAATCTAGGAGGGAAAACACCAAGTCGTTTACTTAGAAAACACTTGGAATTTTTCAGACCAGTCTTATTGGGTTGGTACATGGGGTGTCAAGTGGTGTCCATATATAGATCTCTTTCTGAATAAAAAAACGCAAGACAATTTTGGTGGTGCAGGCACATCTGCAAGTTTAAAAAAAGTGCTGAAAATTTGTTACAAAGTTAGAAATATCAAATATCAAAAAAGTTGGGGCAGTAGGAAAAATCTGGTTGGGCAGTGATGATAAACAAGGAATTAACTTTAATCGGCCTAATCTCAGTGTAGTCAATAAGCAATTTCGAGTTAACCCTCCTTCTGTTTTAACAGTCAAAAACAGTCAAAAATGCATTCCAATTGATTTCCCCCAGTACACAGACACGTACGGGAAATTTGACTGATTTTGACTGATATGACAACTTTGTTAAGAATGCATCTTAGCATAGGAGGGTTAAATTTGAATAAAATCTGGTACACTGAGTTCTTCAAATTCACGTGTACATAACAACTTGAATTCTCCTCACTAAAACCGCTGTTGCTATACCTCGTGATTTGGGTCAAGCTTTTGCTTAGTTACTGAAGAGACGTCTTGCAACAATACACTGTTCTCAATGGATAAGAACGGCACAAAGGAGCCAGTCCATTCACGGCAAATAGCAACAGCGTCTTTAGTCTGGGGAATTCAAATTGTACGTTTCTGTGCAATCAGATAACACAGTGTACCAGATTTTATTCAAATTTAACTCGCAAGTGGCTTATTGAAACTTACAGTATGTGTTGAACAACTGTGTAAGGCTAAATTGGAAAGCAAGTTGCCTTGGAGTTGCCTTCCAAACAAACGATTTTATTTGTTTTTGGCAAGAGTTCTATATTGGAACACCTCACATTCACTGCAACAAGAGTGGTTCTAGAACCAATTGTCTTTTTTGGGGGGGGATTTGTTTTCGGCAGCTCAAATTTTAGATTTTTTTCCATTCAACCTGTTGGCCTTTTGGGGGAGGGTGCTCTGAGGCTACAACTTGGGCTTTATACAGAAATGTAAGAGAGCAAACAATTGGCATTTGTTTTATTTTATTTCAATTTTGAAAGAGTTCCATATACAGACATCACTCCACACTCTGTGCACAAATCCAATGAGATGCGATTGCCACTGTATGAAATGGACTTTTTAGGACATTTTATCACTTTCTAATGGCTAATAAACCACTGCAATGAAAATGAGTAATGTTTGTATATGGAACTCTTTCCAATTCACCTTTTTTAAAAACTGAAATTGGAACTGCTGTAAAACAGAAAAATAGTTGTTTTCAGACAGCATTTTGGCTGTACATATTGTCTGGACATTATGTGGGTATCCAAGACCATTTTATTGGAATAAAACTTGTCATTAAGATAAAAAAAACTACCATCACGTTCAGAAAGAAATACCCATATTAAAAAGAATAATTCTCTCTGTGTAAGAGATGGAAAAAATTATCCATTTGGATAAAATATTTTGAACAAAGGGCAAGATTTTACTTTACATCATACCTCAAAGGAAGGCTGGATAAAGCCTTTTCTCAAAATAGACCCTCACCTGTTCAGGAATGTATAACTGGTGTGTATGGGCCGTTCTATAGATTTGGGGTCTAGTTTTCTTTCAGGTCCCTGTCAAATCTTACGTGCAATTTTGTAAGTTCAGAGCACATTCTTAAATTTCCAAGAGTGATTCAGTAATGCAGATTAAATGCTGAACAAATAATATTTCCATGTTAAATAAGTCAGGTGTAACAGGGACACCCAAAATGTCACTTTTGGACCCCAGGTTTAGAGAATGACCCATATAAAACTGGAATTGAAAAAAAATCATTAACCCAAAATGAAAATCGTGTTGAAATTGGAGGATTGAGGGCTGTGAGGGTTAAGGGATTTGTAGAAAATAAGAAAGCATTTGTTTGCAATCTGTTGTCCCTTTGAGACATCAATGGAAAGTATTTCTGATACCAAAACAAAATCATTTTGTTGACAAGAACACCAAAATGAACAAAAAAAGCATGTTTTTGTCGGTCAATTTTGCTCTTTGCTTTTGTATTTGATTTCTAATTCTTTCCAGAATGAATCATTTGACAATTCCATGATCTTTTCAATAAAAAGAAACATGCCCACCTGAGAACTTTAATTGTATTTCATTATTAATGGGATGGTATTAATGGGTTTATCATTACCAGGGTGTTTGTATTTTGTTGGCATAAAATTGCTAATTAGTGTAAGGGAACTTTTCATAATTGCAGAAGGCGGTATTTACTGCGGTACCGCTGTATTTTTGCGATACCAGCATTAAGCCCTTTTGGGTAACTAGTGCGGTGCCGCTAAAAAAAACAGCGGTACCGCAGTAAATACCGCCTTCAACAATTATGAAACGCTCCCTAATTTAAAACAAATGCTTATGCTCAAATGATTCTCTATTCTGTTTTCCTTACCAAAATTGTATTGCCTGTACTCAATCCACTAGGGTGTGCACAAACACTATGTTGAAATTGGAGGATTCAAAACTGGAGGTCAGTTAAAGGGCCATAGCAAATTACATTGAAATTTGTTTTCCTCATTTGTCAAACTTAATCACTTCAGACATGAATACATTGCTACATGGTGTGTGGATTTTAGTGCAAAACCATTTTCCTCTTAAATATGAGGACTTTAGCCATGTTTCTTTTCTGGCAGAGTATTGTTAAAAGTTATTTCCAAAAAAACATTGACCCCTGAGTCCATCTTACTACACTGTCTCAGTACATGTATACTTGCAGGAATATGTATTAACTCCCTAAATTCAAGAGTAAAATTGAACACTAGATGCAATAATGTGAAAATGACTTTAAATTTAGAACAAAGCATTTGAGAAAGAACCTCTTCCAACAGAAACTCTAGGGAAATTGAATTTGTCTTGAGGGAGTGAATTTTTACTTTTTGGAATTTAGGGAGCATATTAAATGCTTTTTAAAAGTTTAGGATGTTAGCTTTCTTTTTGTCCTTGAGAATTTATTTGAACCTACTCCTACAGGTGTGCAATGAAAAGAAACCATGTTTGTTGAGGTCTAGCTGTGGTTCCAACATATCTTTGTGAAATGAATCTACTATTAGAAACCAAAAGTTGCTTTGCTACTGAAATACAAGTGAAAATGGCTCAGATGTTGTAAGCTGGTTTGAGAAAGACGTGGAGAGGTACCATGTCAACTGCTGAACCCATCCAAACAGTAGATGGTGCTCATCATGTGTGTTTGATGTCAAACTCTCAGATCATCTGTGATTTGATATTAAATGTGGACTCTTTTCACATAGACGTCGCTTTATCCTGAAGCATGTAAGAGTTTGTCATGCTGACCTCTATCTGTGCTAAATGCAGACTTGGCAGACAGTTCATCACAACAGCACCTCTTCGTTAAAAGAACTAGTAGTGAACGGTGGGTGAGAGCATCCACCCAGTAGCATATGGAGACCTGTAATGGTCCATCACCATAACAAACCTCCAGCAAATATAATTGGAGGACATTTAACAGTTCATCACCTTGACACCTCTTCAGTAGAAAATGGAGACATGTGGCTCTTCGTCATGATTTATGACATATCTCCAGTCAATAGCAGGTGGACAGTTCATTGCAATATCTCTCCAGACAGTAGCAAAGGGAGAACTGTGAGAGTTTATCTCTGTGACGTCTCTCCAGTCATCGGCAAGTGGACACATAGATGACAGTTCATTACCATGACCTCTCTGCAGCCAGTATCAAAGGGAGAATTATGAGAGTTCATCTCTGTGACATCAACCATTGGCAAGTGGACACCTGTGATAGTTCATCACAATGGCATCTCTCCAGCTACCTGCAACAGTTCCTCGCCATGACACCTCTCTCAAGCCAATATGGGAGACCCATATAAAACTTCATCATCACCATAGATCTGGCTAGCCAGTTTAAAAGAAAGTACTGTGACAATTAACTGACGTCACTCCAGCCAAAATCAAACGGAGGCTTTTGGCACTTTTGAAGTCACCCACAAAAGGCACAAATGGAGTCCTGTGACGTGATAGTTTATCAGGATATACTCCATCCAGCAGCAAATGGAGACCTGTACTTGCACAGTGACATTTGGCTAAATAACAGTGGCAACCTGTGATATTTTATCACCTCATCTCCAATCTAGTACCAACTGATGAGCTTTTTATGCAGTGACGCCTCTCCACCATCTTTTCACCTGCTGCCGCTGCCGGTACGTGTTGGAAATGTGTGGTAGTTCGTCATGGTTGTTCATCACAAAAACTTGCTCTCAGCCATGCTCTGAAACTGATTGATATTAGCCATGCTAAGAATACCAGGAAGCTTGACCTCATAAAATATGGTTTCTTTTTCTTGTGTGACTGTATTTTCACAAATATCATGTAGCCATTTCAGTAAGTTTCAGCAACAACTCCATCGATGTGAAAAAAGTCACTTCTGTACTTTTGATGGGTGGAATTTTGAGGTAAATGTGCCAAATTTCTGGAATGGCCCTATATCAGGGTGGTAATTTTCTCTGAGTGATGAAATGGGGTAGTGGTTTGATAAATTTGTTGCTTTGACACAATGTCTCAACTTATTTTTATGAATCAAAGTGAGATACGTCAATTTTTCAAAACAAATTGGTGTATCCTACTTTGATTTAATTATTATTTTTGATGTTTTCAAGCAAAATGAGTCTTTTGATGACCCTGATTGATTTATTTTTCTCCTACAGTTTAAAGCACTAAAGCACTGTGTTGGTATGACATTTGATTCAAAAGTCATTACAGTCCTAACTTGGAAAGAATTGATGTCAGGAAGGAAAAAGTCCTGTCAAATGACTCATTTTGCCTTTGATTGCACCACTTTTTGGCCATTATAGTACTGGATCCTCCAGTTTCAATGTAATTTTTAACACACCTTGTGGAAGATGTTTTGTCAGGTTTGACAAAGAAATGTAGACAAGCCACATGCTAAGTTTTACAGTTTGTTTTCTTTTAAAGGGATTTAAGGGCCATTCATTTTGTCATCATTTTCAGGATTGTGCAAACCATACTCTGGGGAAAGGGTTTGTACTCTCTGAGAAGGGGGGGGGGTTCAGAAAGAGTATTCTTTGCATTTTTATGAAAATGATGAAAAAATGAATGTTCCTAAGGTAGATGAATGTAATTTGTTTGATCTCCTGAACAGCCTTGCATTGTGGTTTCAGTTGGAAATACAACCAGGCTGTTATATACCTGTGCCGTGAACTCTGTGTATTTTTTAAGTGTGGGAAAGGGATTTTAGGACATCCCACTAATGTAAATCATATGCCATTTTCCAGAATTTGAGTGAGGTGCATACAGTTCTCCAAACTCCTTTTTAAAACAAAATCATGTAATTTGACCTTATGGTTTTGGCTTTATGTAAACTTCTTTAAGGATGAATTTGTGGACAAAATATTTGAAAAGCTGTTTTTACTTTTCCCCAACTTGCCTCTGTAAGAGGTTATTTACGGTAGATGCATGTCATATGCTGTATCCCTGGAATGGCCTCACATCAGGGTGTCAGCTGGGAACAAGACCTGGCCGGCGGATACAGTTTTGATGCATCTTTACCTATTTTATAGGGGTATCCGGGTCGATATTAATGTGTTTTTTTAATATGATATATTTGAATATCAAAGTCCAAACTGCGTTTTTATACATGTCAACCAATGACGGTTCAGGAGTGTGACGTGCACACAGATTAATGTTTAGAAGTGAAACCAGTAGGCTTGTGTACTGATGACATCAGACTTTGTTTACATGTGTACTTCCCTTCGAAGCCAGTTGAAGCCCATGGTCAACGGAGCAACAAAGGAAAGCACACACATAAACAGAGTATGGCGTAATTAGTAGAGACATCTATTGACACAACTATTTCCATAATTCAAGCCAACTGTCAATGGGGAAAGATGAAGTGAATACCTTTTTCTAATCAAAAGAAGACAACTTTGTATTTACCGTATGTGGCAAAAAGCAGAAGCTATATTTGTGCATGGTAATATTCAAAGGAATAACAAATATGTACTTTAGATTTTTAGCAAATTGCATGATGTGTGACAGAAATACAGGCACACCTGCATCTACTAGCTTGTACATCATTGAGGGTTACTGCTGAGCATTTTGCAGTTGCTTGATTGATTCACTAGCAGTTTTTAAGACATGACGTCGCTCGGAGAAAAGAGAGATCAGTTTGTGTAAATTGACTTTCTTAGCCTAGTTGCGTTACCCGGTTACTGGCTGCACCTCAAAACAACTTTGTGGTAATGAAATATTGCCTATCCTGTCTTCAGCTATGTCCTTGCACATGTTGTATATTTTCTTTCAAAACAACTGAAAATCCAACCTATTTCCCCTGCTGAATCCAAGTTTTATTCCAATTACGTGACATGCATAATGGCTCTTGGTATAATCAGTCATTTAAAATAATTCGATAATGACGAGTGTGTTTTTCACAAGGCAGGGTACAAGAACAAATGCCTTATTTTTTTTTATCAACCACGCACAGGTTGCATAAAAGTATTCTGCTCTTGGATTTTACGGATGTAATTTAAATGAATAAGAACGAGCTTGAAAGGAATGAACTTTTATACTTCCGACAGGTGGTGAATGCATGTGGCAATACCTTAAATGCTGCCTTAACAGTAATTTCTTTCTCGGAGGTTGTTTTGTTTTTTTACAAAGTAAGCAATATGACCTCCACAAATATTTTACGAACAGAACAAATAGCCTCTGAGCTTTTTTATTTGTGAATAGAAAGATGCATTGGTACAATTACCTCCACCTGTGCTTTACTACATCTTCTGAAAAACATCGGCACTCTTGAGAGTTTCTCTTTTCAGCACGGGCTCATTGAAAGTGTCCAAACAGTCGTATGAAATGCTTGTTTCTGTACCCTGCCTCCCCAAAAGTAGTTTTTCAGGAAACTAATCCTTTTCCTTCTTTTTGTACTTCAGAAACTTCTGGGTTTGGGACAGCAGCAAACTGCACAATCGGAAAGGGGACCAACATGGCACCACTGATGTCTGAGATGTCACTACTGACGTCCAAGATGTCACCACCGATGTCCAAGAGAGTGGCTCCCTACCTGCTTGAATTCTCACTTTCAAGACTGGATGAACACATCTTGGCTCGAGCAAATCCATGGCAGTGGCTTTTGGGCAATTCTTAATTTCTGCTAATCAGTTTTTGCCTCAATTAGTGTGCAAATCAAATTTAAAAGTGATCACGTCACATTTCTTGTGATGAATTGGTCGTGGTCAATTCAAGCCGGAAACAAACTCAATTCGGACAAAGATCACAAAAAGTGAAGACTTCAACTTGGTGTTGAATATGCCAGTGTTGGTATATCAACAACTTAAATTTAGTCAGTGACTGAATACATTGGTTTCCATGGATTTGCTCTAAATGTTAATCATGTCGTGAGTTAGATTTGAACCAGGCGCGTGTAGTTCACTCAAAGAATGCTGTAATTGTTTTACCTTTCTAAATATTTGGACATGTCCATACCCCTTCATCTCCATTCAGTTGGCAGGATCAATCTAATAATCCTGTTGGGCATTTTAACTTGATGATTCTGACACGCGCCTGGTTCAGTTTTTGTATCTGGAAAAATTTGAAGTACTTTGGATAGTTTTATACTTTGTATAAATGAAATCTACACCAGCACATCATATCATGTAATTACTTTCAAGAAAAACTGGACTGAGTTAAAGTTGTGCATAAAACACATAAATTACTTGCATTGCATGAAAGCACCTGTTTGGTTACTTACCTTTCAGAGTTGGATACATAGCGGTTTTTAGTTGGAATGTAAAGTGTGAAATACATACAAGCTTGCATATGAAACAGCTATATCTTTTTCAGTTAATGTTTCAAGTGAATTTGTGAATTGCACTACAGCAGTATTAGATTGTAAATTTCTTTGTAATGATACAAAGGGGCAGCCTGCACTGCAAATTTACATGTAGAAAGTTAAGTGATCCTGTTTCAAAAACTTTGAGACTGCCCCCTTATACAGTCGCCTCAAGACATCTGTATTTATTCACGTATGCAGCACCTGGTGATGTCAAACAGCTTTTGCTTCACTTATTTGCAAACTCTTGAATTGCCGTCATGTGTTTTTCTTTGGTCTTTACCACAAATTCAGTTTAAACGGACTTATAGATTAACATAGACTCTTTTCATTTGTTAATGATGTGCTGGTGTAGATTTATCTGTATTGCTGGATGAAAAAACTGGGTTTTTTTTGTTTTTTGGACACTTATTTTGTGTTAGAGTTCCTGCTGCCTGTTTCAGGAGTTTGCAGAACAATACAGTCGACTTCAACGATGCTCACAAAACTGGAAATTTATTGAAATAAAAATTAAAAAAAAACTGTAAATGACGTTAGGAAAATAGTCGTACTTGAAAATAGCCCAGCTTTTTAAAACTTGCATGTGTTTCAACATTTATAGGATAAAACATTTTTCGTTCTGCAAAAAAAAACTGAAACAGGCAGCAGTCTTATTTTTCATTGCGTTTTTTTTTGGGGGGGGGCTTGTGTCCATCTGTAAATGCACACTGCACCAAGGTGTCATTCTCATGAGTGTACAAAACATACTCTACATGAAGGGGTTTATTATGTGTTTGTTTATATTTGAATAGCTTTTATTCCTGTTTGTGTTTTCTTTGTATCCAAAGAAAGGTCAAAGGAAAAAAAATGGTGTTCTGTACACTCATGAAATTGATGAACCCCAGCCTTAAGTATTGAATTAACGTAGGTTTTTTAAATTGACAGGGAAAATGTAAAGTGCCTACTTCAAGTACATGTAACTTTACAAGTGTAGTTGCAGATCAGCATATTGAAGGAGCGCCCTCAATTTCAATTTAGTCTTGGCACAGTATACATGTTGGGACTTTGTGTTCACCATTTTTTTCATAAGTTGGAATAAAGTACAATGTACAAGACAGAGAAATTTGCATAAGCTTTTTTTGTTGACCTTGAACTTGGTAATGGACTTGAACTTGGCAATGAACTTGAACTTGACATTGAACTTGAAAAGAGCGACCAAAAAAAAAGCACCCTAGCGCATACAAGTCCCCCCTGGTGTGGGCCGCGTGTTCCCCGCCCACAGACAGCAACAGGTCCAGTGAGTTGCCCACTGCATTAACTCGTGATCAGTTGTTCTTGATGTGTACAAACTCCCCTGATCGTAAATGCCCAAGTTGACTGCAACACGGTAAGGATCGCATTAACTCTGACAACCAGTTTACTTTCTACGCAGCAGATGTTAATGTATTTCAACAACTCCACAACAATTGCAAATAAAGGAACACTCTCACACTTGCGTGCAACTGCCTCGCTTGGATATTGTCTGAATGTTCACTTACATTGCAGGATTGGATCTTAATTAAATGAAGCACTGACGAAATGGTTACTTTCTGTGAGTGTTCTCAGATGCATTTTGATGTTTGTCAGACTTAAAGGCTAGAAATGCTGGCCCCAAACTGTGGATAAACTTCCATACTTTCAACTCCTAAAACCAAGCCATTTGTTCCACACGTTCCATCAATGACCAGTCCTTTTTCTCCTTTTTGTTAAGTAAAACTTAGGCAACAGAAAAAAAGTAGTCTCCATTTAGATGCTACCAATGTACCAATTACAAAATTTAATTGACATGATTTGCAGTGTAATTTGACATACTTCTGAGGCCAAACGGGAAGGAAAAACCTGCAAGATGTTTTCTTTTTTCATAAACAAGGACTTTCCTTGTATTGGACCTGCAAATAGCGATAAACTGCATCTTTCTCATCCGTTTTTCGGAAAAGAAGGGTTATGTTCCTAAACCGGTTCAAGGCATCATAAATTCACTGTAATGTAAAGTGCTTCCTTTGAAAAACAAAAACGAATGCCTGTTAAAAAAAAAGTATTGCGAGCAGGAACTAAAAAAAAAAACCTTTTCAATGTCTCAAAGCAAGGCATTTAGTTTTCAGAAATTGTGTTTTTAAAAGAACCTATTCAGGTTTACATGTTTCAGAATCTTCAAAAATTGCACAAGGAATAAACCAAAGGGTTCGTTAGTGCTTCTACTTTTTGAACCATATTTTGCACTTGTAGCTGCTTTACCTTTTGTTCCAAACTGGCGAGCCCTTTTGGATTCCAGACTAACTGCTAAAATGTTTTATCAGGAAGCCGTAGCTACCAAATTCTTAATCACGAGGATCCAATGAAACTATTTTCCAAACTCTTCCCTAGTGCGGGACAGAGTCTGGTCTCTACACAGTTGCCAAACTCTTAGTACTCAACAGAGGCACTTTGTGGTTTAACAAAATAAGTGCTGATTTTTTTGGTGTAGAAACCTCTAACTGCATGTTTGTACATGATGTTGTTTTCGCATTTCACGATTTGCACAGTGTTTTTTTCTGCTGAAGTCCATACGTATGTGCTCTTGTGATACCCAAGTTGCTCTGTGACCCGGTGGATGATGTGGTAGCAATCTGCCTGTTGGTATCTGTAGAAACTATGGCATCTGGCGACACAGGGTTGGCCTGTCCTGTACTCCATGCTAAATTTAATTGAAGTTTTCATTATTCATGCACTTTACAATTACATCCTCATGTGTTGCTCTTATAAACCCTTACATTCTCATGGCACTTTGGTGTACACTAGCAAACATATTCACAGATATTGCACATGCTCACATGCCGACGTAAACAGGATCCAGAAAAATCCACAATTGCATCTACATGATTACAACAACAGTTGTTTGAACTCAGTAGTTCAGGCTCAACTTGCTTAGATCTGGCAGTTCTAAAAAGAACAAGTAACTTGATCTTAGTGCAACAAAACACTGCCTACATATCAAGGAGCCAAGATGACTACAAACACAGGATGTGATGATGGTGAACTTATTGCGCATGGTTTGTATCAAACATTGCTAGATAACGGTGCCTCACAGTCTTGCAAAAATGACTTTGTGGCAAGAAATATCGCAAGCATCTGCACAAAGTTTAAACGACTCAAGGGGCTGTTTATAACACTTGGCGGCAATCTGAATGTGGAATGATACATCTTGCCATTTTAAAAGTAGTGTTTCCTACCATAACACTATCTGCAGGAGATCAGGGCACAATTTCATGGAGCTGCTTAACAAGTTAGCAGACAAATTTGCTAACCTTAAAGCACTATTTCACGGCAATGCTTAGCATGGCTGCACAAACAGTTGCGCGCACAGCTATTTCTGTTGTTACGTCACTAAGTTCAAGCACCTACGTCTTTCCTCCAAGGTTAGCATGCCTTTGGCTGTGCATACTGCTTACGATCTCCATGAAATAGATGTATGTGGAGCCTCTGTAAGCACGAAATTGCGTGCTAAGCAGCACTGTCAAGTTGGCCCAAGTTGCAACTTGCGTGTTGGTAGCAAAGATTTCTCTCAATGCTCTACCGTTTGCAAACAATGCAGAACAAGTGATAAATTGTGGGATGTGTGCAATACTTGAGATCATACAGTTGATGGGTGACTTACGTGTCTACATGTAGGCAAAGACTTCGATAGCACGCTCTACATTTTAACTGCTGCTTTTGAAGCAAAATTTGGTGTCCGAGTCTGCCAAAATGTTTCCTGTCCCAACGGCAGTTTAATGAGAAAAGCACTGTCTCTTCACGACTCTATCACACACAGACGCAGCTGATTTAGTTCTCATGAAGACCACATGCGGTAAAGAATACTGACATGGATGCCAGACTCACAGACTGGTTGTCGGTTTCTTTTTCTCACTTTTTTTTTTTACAACTACTGGTAAATTTCTCTCTCTGTAGTTAAAAATTAGCAATTGTGGATTTTCCTGGAGCCTGCTTAAGTTACTATGACCTAAATTCCTGTAATAATTGCCTTCTTTATCAGAAAATTAATTCATGAAAACAACAAACCATCCTCTGTGGAAAATAAACTGCAAAATAATTTTAAAAAACCTACCCTAAGTAAGTTTCTAAAAAATCTGTGGTATCCTTCAACACCAATTAAGTGCCCTGAGATACTCATTAAAAAGTTCTGAAAAACTGCTGTTTTCTTCCTTCATGCTTTCAAAATGATTTCTTCTTTCTAAGAGTTCCTCGGGGGAGGGTGGAATTTATTCTTCCAGAGGTAAATTAATAATGGCATGTCAAATCCGAACCTAAAAATCTTAGGTTATCTGCATTTCCCACAGCCTCAGACACAGTTCCCACAGTTTAAGAAAATGTTTTTTATTCAGAGGCCAAATATTTCTATTCAAAAAGGATGTTAACTCACAAGTGCCTTGTGTTTGCAAGTTTTGACTGCCGAACGTGTCACCATTACTTGCAACGAAATAACCCTGACAGCTCATTTTTAGTTTTTTAGCAAGCAACGTCTAACTTACAATTTACTCGACAAATTTAACTGACGGATGACCCCACCAGCTCAGTAAATTTCTGTACCTCATAACCTGATGCTGTAGCCGGCACTTACATGTAATTCTGATAATAGTAATTTGGCTTCATCAACACATAGCTATGCAATAAAAAGGCCTAGTCAGACTAACATGCTGATGTCAAGATCAAAGGTGAGTGTATAAATACAAAAAATTATATTTCTTGTCCAGTAATCTGAATTCCACTGCACAGTCCAACATTCACATTGGAATATTTTGTTACACCAAGAGTGATGATTCTCTAACTTTTTATTAAACCTCTCCAACAGAGAATGATCGGGTGTTCAACTTTTTTGAGTAAGGCAAGGTAGAAGTCTAAGACAAAATAAAAACAGTTTTCACATCTTGCAAAAATGCAAAATGATGAATGAATGCATGGAGCGTGATAGTCTTCAGTCCAAGGCAATACCAAGAGGAGTTTGGCCTTTTCATTTCAGTCCTCTACTCTCCCCGTAAATCTTCAATTCAATGCCAAAAAATGCCAATGCTGACTGCAGCAATCTAAGGCTAATTATGAGGTTTTGCACAAAGAAATGTAATGAAATTTGTTGGCAGACAAAATCCCAATAAACAGCACTCACGAGTAATGATGCATCTAGAAATTTGTCACGTCACAAACGTTTTAAGAGTAAATAAAGACAGGACTCTGATACAGCATGTACAGGGTGTCAACTAGAAAGACTTCTTCCGTGTATGTTCTGTTCCGAGTTTAAGGAAGAATCTTTCCTTCTCAGCAGAGTCTGAAACGTGCCTTCTGCAGTAACTGCAGTTTGACAGGAAACAAGATTGCTTAGTTCTGTTGCACACAATGTGGTAGAATTGGATCTTCCAACTGGACCAGGGCACAGGGAGACTTACTGGTAATTGAAATCAGAGGATTTTGCATACACCTCAAGGGGTTAGGGTCAAGGACGACCAGGGGAATACAGCACTAGAAGTCCTACAGCCATCATTTCACGTTACCTTTATTTTAAGGCTCACAAACTGCACAATCTAAAGACATCTTGTATGCCGAGGGTTTTCCCTCGAAATGTTCTGCCATTTTTGGATTTGTGAAACTGCTGTTTTGCAAAAACAATAAACAAGCTGAAAAACTGTCACAAAACTTGTGAATAGGGTTACCTTGGCTTTTGCAAAATGTACGCTTAATTGGACTTTCAAAAGGGAGAATTTTGAACATTTGACTTGATCAAGGCACTGACAAGGCTACGTCTGTATTCATATTTACAGATTGGAATTCAACAGAACCATCATTAGTGTAGTGGCTGAGGTGCAAGAGTGGCTGGCCAACTGGATGGTGTGCCCAATGGGAGAGCTGCAGTTCTGCAAATGTTCTGGGTTTATGAAAAGGACACTGATATTTTGCATTCTGCCCTTTTCATTTCAGAACACCTCTGCCGGAATGCGTACAGGTCTGCTCGTATTGTGCTGCTCAAGATTTGTTTGCTCACTCATTACAAAAGAGCACCGTTGGAAAGGTCCGCTTTCTTCCCAACACAAAGAAAGGTTCCCTTGGCACTGCAGGCCATGCAAGATTGACAAATC